GCCGGGTTCTGCCCAGTGTCCCTCCATCCCGCTGCGCAGTGTCCCCATCAGTCCTGCCCGCCCGGCCGGGGCTTCTCCAGGGGTGCGGAGCCCCCCTCTTAGTGATCCCGTCCGTGCAGGGGTGGGAAATGAAAGGAAAAGGGGAAAAAAAATATATATAAAAATTTTAAAGGGGGAGCGGGGAACTCCCTGTCAGCTGCAGCACTTTTGGACAGCATTTATTTGGGTAATTACTTTTTTTTCTTGCCCAGCCTTCCCACGAGCGCTGCGCCGCAGCCACACACACCCTTCTCCTCCCCCCGTGGGATTTGCTGCTTTTCCCATCCAAAGAGCATGTTCAACACAAACACTCGTGGCCGTCTCCAGCCGCCCTGCTGGCTGCACGCCTTACTCGCGATCGCTAATCTCGGAGTGGGAGCCAGCCAGGAAAATAAATAAGGAACGTGGTCCCCTGCCTTCTGCAGCGGTAGCCGCTAGGAAATTCCCAGATAGGGATACACATACAGATAATTTTTTCCCCTCCCCTGTGCTTACAACGCCACACGCTGTCTCAACCCGGGAACAGCTCGCAAGAAATCCCAGACTAGTCGAGTTCTTTTCCTTGACACTTTTTTGGGGGAGCAAAAGGGCTGGCAAGTGCCAGCCACATTCCCCCACCCCCCTGTGTTTCTCCACCGGGCTGCAAAGGCAGCTAAAGTGTTGTTCATCATTGCCCCCTAGCCCAGCAGCCCGCTGGAAGTGTCAAGAAGCACTTGCTTGCAAAAAGAAAATAATGGGCTTCCTTTAAATATAGCTGTTTGCTTCAAAACCAGCAGCCCCACGGCAGGGGATGGCCTTGCCATGCCTGTCTGCAAGAGGGTCTCACCCCCCCCCACCCCAGCCCCAAGCTTCCCAGGGGTTGAGCCCAGGGCGATCGCTAATCTCGGAGTGGGAGCCAGCCAGGAAAATAAATAAGGAACGTGGTCCCCTGCCTTCTGCAGCGGTAGCCGCTAGGAAATTCCCAGATAGGGATACACATACAGATAATTTTTTCCCCTCCCCTGTGCTTACAACGCCACACGCTGTCTCAACCCGGGAACAGCTCGCAAGAAATCCCAGACTAGTCGAGTTCTTTTCCTTGACACTTTTTTGGGGGAGCAAAAGGGCTGGCAAGTGCCAGCCACATTCCCCCACCCCCCTGTGTTTCTCCACCGGGCTGCAAAGGCAGCTAAAGTGTTGTTCATCATTGCCCCCTAGCCCAGCAGCCCGCTGGAAGTGTCAAGAAGCACTTGCTTGCAAAAAGAAAATAATGGGCTTCCTTTAAATATAGCTGTTTGCTTCAAAACCAGCAGCCCCACGGCAGGGGATGGCCTTGCCATGCCTGTCTGCAAGAGGGGCTACCCCCCCCCACCCCAGCCCCAAGCTCCCCAGGGGCTGAGCCGAGGTGGGTCCATGTGGGCTTTGTCCTGAGAGCCCACTCCTGCTTTTGTTCACCTCCCTGGTCCTTGCCAGCCCAAAGGAGGCCCTGCAAAGCTGTCAGCTGTGTGGGGATATGAAACATCCCTTTCAAGAGCCAAGATGGGCTTTACAGAGCGAGGTGTCTGATTGTGGCATGCAATGACCTTAGGCCAAGAGCACCCCCTAATCCACCCCCACGGGTATTTCATAAGAGAGGAGTAACCCCAAGCTGCTCATTGAGATTCGGCACACACGAACTGTGGGGCAGTAGTTGGAGGGTGTCAGGCAGGGTCGTGTGACTGTACCAGGCGGGCTGTAAGGGAGCAGGCTGGAATTCCATCCGCTCAGCCTGATTTCAAACTGTCCAAACCTCGTTTCATGACAGAGCATCTTATGAGAAGATTAAACCCCATAATGCCAGGCAGGAAGATTCTTTATCTAGATCTCTGTTTGCAAAAAGTATGATCCCAGAGACTGGAATGCAAAGAAGAGTTCCCCCAAGGCCTGAATTATTGTAACCAGGACAGAGGAGGGAGAGGCAGGGGTGGTAAAAGGGACATTGATAATGCGCTACAGCAAGTATTTAGAGCAAGCTTCTACATTTAAAATTCAAATACAGATCTTGAGTGCCTTGGAAAAGTGGCTCTGCTGTGCAAATAGTGCTTGGAAGGTCCTGGGTTTTTTGGAGAGTATGTGTGTGAATTGGCACATAGGGTTTCTGCACCTGAACAAATAGGGAGAGGGAGAAAAGGGGGGGAAGAAGCTGGGAAAAAAATGGAAGTGTCCTCTCTTCCAAGAGTGTCTGCATTTATTACATGAATCAGAATGACAATGCTGATCCTTTATTGGATTTTAATTAGAGAACCCAAACAAGCACTGCTCAAAGAAGCAGATTTTCACACCTCTGCCAATTCACTGGCATGTTTGTAGAGCTGCTACACTACTAGATCTATTCATCAAGTCCCTGAATATGCAAACAAAGCTCAAGCCAGACCTTTACCACCAGCTTGTAGGAAGGTGTAGCTTGCTAGCAGAGGGCTCCACATAAAGCACATAGCTTGTTTGTTGCCATGTCCTCCTTGAAGAGGCCTTAGAGATCTTGCTGCTTCATTTCTGAAGGAGAAGTGATAAAGTCGTTAGCAAATCAATAACGGTCTAATTTTCACCCTTCCTGTCCTTCCTGAGAGAGTCATTAGGAGACACTCCAAAGGCTTATTTAAATCATAAGAGCTTCAGTACCAGCCACAGAGGCAGAATATAAAATCTGACCACCTTTAGCAGATAAACCACCAGGACTCTAAACTGCTGTAGAGAGTAACCGGGAGAAACCAGGCGAGGGTGAGAGAGGAACAAGGAATGTCAACACATAGCAAAGACACTTGCTAGCATGACATACCATGGGCTACAGCCCAATACATGAAAAAACAGAGCTTTTAGAAATCCCTTGGCTAAGTCAGAGTCCAGCCTGGAGCAGGACAGAAGTCCTCTCCCACTGCTTTGCACGTGGCTCTGCTTCCAGAAAGGGATTTGCAGGAGACACCAGAAATCTCATTGTTCTTTCTGCTTTCTCTAAACCTGAGATTATTTCTCTCAGGAGCACTGTAAAGCAGCAGCAGTGGCAACAGCATTTAGTAGCTGAACTCTGAGTAATTCTGAAAGCTGGAGGAGAAGACAGGATGTGTTTGGGTCTGGAGCAGGCGTGGGACTGCCTGGGGACCACTAGTCCTAGGACAGGGAACCGCATCCTTCTTCCAGCAAAGGAGGTGCTTTTTTATTTTGTGAAAAGAGGAGTGAACCAGAAAAGTGGAGGTGCCAGGCAGGGATGTTATAAGGGATGACACATGCCCCAGCAGGCACCATGGCAAGCAGGGGGGCAGTGAGGGCTTGGGGGGCAACACAGGGCGATGGAAGGGGTCTTGGGAAATGTGGGTTGTTGTTTTCTAATGAGGTGATGTGCAAATTGGTGTGGTCCTTGGGGCAAAGTCCCCTCATGCTCACTGCTGTTTGCTGCCCTAGGTGGGCATTGTGAGCATGGACACTTACCTGGAGGAGGGGAAACCTTATTCCAGCATTATCGCTCAGCTTTGAAAACCTGCTAATTATCCAACATCAGGTGTCAGGCCCAGGGCAAACGGTATCCAAGTGGGAAGTTCTTCTAGAATAGATTTGTTCTGGAACAGCTTTTTCAAGGCAAATATTTTGGCCCATCTCCTGAACAAGAAAAAGGGTCCTTCTAACTCCTAACCCAAAAGGAGATGCACCAACTCAAGTCTGGCAGGAATCATAGAATCATAGAATGGCTAGGGCTGGAAGGGACCTCAGAGATCATCTAGTTCCAACCCCTCTGCATGGGCAGGGACACCTCCTACCAGACTAGGCTGCTCAAGGCCCCATCCAACCTGGCCTTGAACACCTCCAGGGAGGAAGCTTCCACAGCGTCCCTGGGCAACCTGTTCCAGTATCTCACCACCCTCACAGGAAAGAATTTTTTCCTAATGTCCAACCTGAATCTTCCCTTTTTAAGCTTCAAACCACTGCACCTTGTCCTCTCACTACACACCTGTGTAAAAAGCCCTACCCCAGCTTTCTTGTAGGCCTTCTTCAGATATTGGAAAGTTGCTATAAGATCACCACGGACCCTCCTCTTCTCCAGGCTGAGCAACCCCAACTTCCTCAGCTTATAAAGGGGAAGGGAATTCTCATTCAATCCGTTGAAAGCAAATGGGCCAAGGTGGTAGATGAGGATAGAGGAACTTTGATGAGGAGCAAGGCCACATCCTGCACTCTTGGGTGGGCTGGGTTGGCTGGGGAAGTGGTGCCTGCCCCCGTGACCCTATGTCCCCATACCCCAGCCCAGCGGGTGCTCCCTCTAACCCAACTGTGCCTCTCTCTCCTTGCACAGAAAACTCGGTGGCGGCCAAATCAGGGGGTTGTTTCCCCGGCTCGGCCACAGTGCACCTGGAGCAAGGAGGCACCAAGCTGGTGAAGGACCTGAGTCCCGGGGACCGGGTGCTGGTGGCTGACGCGGAGGGCCGGCTGCTCTACAGCGACTTCCTCGCCTTCCTCGACCGGGAGGACGATTCCCAGAAGCTCTTCTATGTCATCGAGACC